GAAGCGAACAAGTCCACTTTCACTCGGCCGAACCTCTGCCATATAAGATCCACCACCTGGGGGTGCAATCTCCATTCCCCATTCTGTAGACTCTGTCTCGGGAGCAGATCCGCTCCCGAGTTCAGGCGACCAGGGATATGGACTGCTCTGATCGACAGGAACTTTGTCTGAGCACAGAGAAGAATACGCCTCGCCAGCCTGCACAGGGGCGAGAACGTAATCCCCCTTGACGATTGAGGTACGACACAACTGCCGTGTTGTCTGTCCTGACCAACACATGATAACCCCTCAGTTGGGGTAAGAACTGTTCGAGAGCCAGGAGAACCGCAAGCATCTCCAAACGGTTTATGTGCCAGTCTCGATGTATCTCTGTCCAGACTCCACCGATTGGATGTCCCTGATGGACCACTCCCCAGCCCGTACACTCCCCTACATGTACTCGGCGCCCTGTCTTGAACTGACCTAGACAGGTCCGTATTGATTGCACACGAGCGGGAGACAGTGTCTGATCCTGAGATTGAGCTAGTATTAGCCAATCGTCTAGGTAGTTCAAAATTCGGAAGCCCTGGAGCCGCAACGGCCATGCATTTTGTAAACGTTCGAGGAACCAAAGCTAGTCCGAACGGAAGAACACAGTATTGGTATACTTTGCCCTCGAAAGCAAACCTGAGGAACTTCCTGTGCCTCCTGACGATCTGGATGTGAAAGTATGCACCCTTTAGATCGATGGTCACGAACCAATCTCCGGATTGGACCTGAGACAGAATGGACTTTACTGTTAACATCTTGAACTTGCTCACTCTGAGCACGAGGTTTAGACGACGTAAGTCCAAAATCGGACGTAAACCACCATCTTTCTTGGGTACAACAAAATACACTGAGTGGGGAGTATTTCCTCTATAGCCCCTTTCTCTAGGAGTGATACGATCTCCTGACCTAAAATCGAGGCGTCCCCAGGACGTACCGTCGTAGGGAGAACCCCGCTGAAGGGAGACGGCTCTTTCCCGAAACTGGATAGTGTACCCGTGTCGAATGGTGCGTAGTACCCACCGTGAAATATCGGGCAGGCGTCTCCACGCCGCCCAGTAGTCTGCCAGGGGTCTTGGGTGTTCTACAGTTGAAACATACATCTGATTTTCTCGTATAGAATCTCGAAGCACCTGAGTGGCGGGAAAAACTATAATGGGAAGATGTCCGATTCTGTCGGGCCTGCCCATTGCCCCAACAGTGGGAGCTTTGGAGGCCGTCATAAACGGGCCATGCTCGCATGACCCTTGGGCTTTTTCTCGAACTCTGAAGGCTGGAACACGCAGAGTATCCGAGGAGGTGCTCGTCGTAAGGACTCGATCTAAAACTGCCCGAGGCGCAATATGCGGGGGACCGTCAAGATTGGAGTCTGGAGGCCACAGCCAGAGAGTCGAATACGCTTGTGCGGTTCGTACACTCTCTCTAAAGGAGGGCCTGGCTTCCGAAGATGAGCAGAGGAATCAGGAACTGCTATTAGGGGCCTGAGGACGAGAGGGCTTTGCCGTCGAACTCAGGTCTACTCGCTTGCGTTGCCGTGCGTAAGCTGGTGGGCAAGACCTAGGACCCCAGTCTTTACGAGGGGGTAACCTAGGCGGTGGCTCATGCCGCTGGACCTCGCGGTGCTGTAAGGATGATGAGCGTGAGCGAGCCGCAGGTGGCTAACATTCCACTTCCCTAGCCCTGCCCTTTCGAGTTTCAGATAAATGCTGAGTCTCCGAACAGACCGTCACTCGAAATGGGGGCGTCAAGGATAAAAGTTCTGTCCTTCTCTTTAATGTCAGTGAGAGTAAGCCAAAGATGGTGCTCAGCTGACACTAACCCTGCCATGGACCTGCCCACTGCCCGAGCTGTGTGCTTGGTAGCCCTAAGCTCCAAGTAAGTAGCTCGTCTGAGCTCTTTAATGTCCTCTGGAGTCAAGCCTTCTCCCTCGTCCAGCTCCTTGAGCACGTCTGCCTGATAAGCCTGGAGTACACCCATAGAATGGAGTGTAGCCGTGGCCTGCCCAGCGGCCATGTAAGATTTTCCGATCAAAGTGGAAGTAACCCTACACGACTTGGATGGTAGCAGAAGGCGTGATTTCCAAGACGGAGCGGAATTTGGCGCGAGATGTGCTGTGAGTCTCTTCTACGGCCGGCATCGCCGCGTAGCCGTGAGCCGCCATTTTTAAAAACCGTGGCGAAATCAGCGGCGGCGAGATTAGTGATACGCGCCGAAAAAGGTTGTTTCCAAGACCTCGAAACCTCGTAGTGGAGGTCTTGGAAAAAGGGGAGAGGCCTACGGGGCTGAGACGGAGTGCGGCTGGACAAAAATCGATCATCCAGTTTCGACTGGGACTGAGTTTGCGCCGGCTCGCTATCCCACTCTAACCCCAGCTTATCCACAGCGCGCGTTACAACGTCTAATAGTTTGCTGTAAGACGGGGAAGTGCGTTTCTCCTGTCCACTCGGAGGGAGAGAACTGTACAGTTCGCCCAATAAATCCTGCGAATCGGAGGCTGCTGTGGACAGCACGTCTTCATCATACGGCATACAACCGAAAGACATCGCATCGCGAGCTTCCGGGGTACGCCGCAAATTGTCATTAACAAAGACCACGTGATCGCCATAGCGCTCTTCGAGTGCTTGCACATGGCCCGGAGAGAGCGAGAGAAAAGGAGAAAATTCCGTTGACTCGCCCTCTAAATGCCTCGGCTCGCATGCGTCACCCCAAGCGGCCGTCTCATGCGGCGCCTCGGCAACCGCAGAAACGGGATAGCGGGGGTTAGACGCGAGGCCTATTTTATTTGAGAAGGCCGCGAACCTCGAGCGCAGTGTTTTAGCCGTAGGCTATCACAGTGTCGACAATCAGAAAGGCCGCTAAGCGCCGCTTGGGCATGCTGTAGGCCCAAACATTGCACACACCTGTCATGAGTGTCTCCTCCAGCGATGAACCTGTCACACGGCTTGATGCATCTCCTGTAGCTCATCGTGTCCGCTGAAGAGGAGTAAACTGCTCTTTTTTGAGAAATAGCTAAGAACACGACTTTTTTGTTTTTTTTTTTTCTTTTCCTTTGGGCGACAGATGATTCGCTTCCTGAAGGAAATGAAATCTGATGAGAATAGCGGGCAGCACGCTATATAGCTCACCTACGTGCGCTTTGGGGGCGGTGCTAAGCGCTATTTGGCCAATGAATGGGCGTGATGGTATAAGGGCTTCAGACGTTCCTCACACCGAGGTGTTCCCCAAAGCGATGACGTCATCGCAGCATCGCCGTGAGCCGATGAGAGGGAACCGTTGCGTTGCGCGCCCCGTGAGGACGGAACACATCTTCGTCAAACAAAAGCCGTCGCACTTCGATTACGTCACACCGAGCCAGCCAACCGTAGTAGCTAATATAATGCTCAGATAATGGCGACCGAATAATAGCCGAGCTGTCGGATAGACAAGGAATATATCGTTGAAAACGCATATTTATGTTAACGTGAGGCTAAAAACACACCATATTGATGTGCAAAACGTACATCAGCGTTTTGACTAACTTAACTTTCACGGGTATTTAGCAACCCTGCTTTCGTGAACAGTTATTTCGTTGTTATTGCGGATCTGCTTTCGGTTTCGCTCAGCCTGCAGTGTCTCGGTTAACAGCTGTCCTCCGAGAAAAGCTCTTCCAGGAGAGGAGATCTCGGGGTTAATTACGAGGACATCGCTGGATCAACATGCTTGAGGACTGCTTTAAGATATAATCACTCCGTCCTTGCTGGTAAACACATTTTATTATAAAATATACAATAACGAATATTAAAAACTATTGCTGTGCATGCTAGGTTTATAATGTCACCGTGTCTTCTTCAGTTTCTGAGGAATATTTGAACGTTTTCAACGTTAGATAAGTCAAAGGAGATAGGAGTAGGAATACATCACTAGCCCGGTCTGTCTGATCCAGTTAATATATATATATATAACGTTATATATATATATAATAAAAGATATCACGTCTCTATGACAGCCAGTCTCTATAAACAGCAAGAGAGTGTCAAGGGGGAGTGGCCTGCCCTTTTTAACCAATCAGAATCGCGCCTCCCCTGTCCATCATTTAGCGCGTTCGCTATTATTGACATGGGATTGGCTAACATGTCATAGGGGGCGGGATTTTGTAGTGAGGTCGTGTGATTGATGCTAGGAAAACGACTGAAATATATTTTATTATTATATTTTATTATACTGTACTGTATATATACTATGCTACATATTATTATGATCATACTCTATCTTCAGTTTTACGTGTTCAGGCTTGTTGAGTGGTTGAAGGTAAAATGCAGTCACGTGATTACGGGTCTAGTAGTGCAGAGGCGTGGACTGGAGCCGCTGCTGTCAGTGACATTGAAAGTGCTCTTCGCCGAGGCTCTGACTCGGATAGCAGTGTGTGTTATGGGTTATAAAACGATGATTGCATTTGATCAAGACTCTGCTTTGAGTTTACTGCGATCAGTGTATGTGATCGGTCACTGAAAAAGCAAATGCTGGGCAGCTGATAGGGCTTATTGATCTTCTCTGTTTTATACAAGCTCCCACACACATTGTCAGGTAAGACTGTGTTGTTTTATCAGTAACCTGTGTTTTTTTATTTATTTCTGTTTAAACAGTTGTTTTCTGCTGAAACGTGTGAGTGTGTGTGTGTGTGTGATTTGAAGGTCAGCTGCCCTGCACCTTTTGTATGTCTTCCTTATCTAACACACCTGATTCCACTCATCAGCTCGTTAGTAGAGACTGCTAGAACTAAATTGGGTTTGTCTGATTAGGGAGACATACAAAATGTGCAGGGCAGGGGGTCCTCCAAGACAGGTTTTGGAACCACTGCTCTAAAGCAATTCATAAAAGCAAGTTAAATCTCTCGTTCAGAGCGCTGTATGGGTTTAGCTTACTAGGTTTTGGAACAGAGCTCCTTGCACTATGTATATAACAGTTAGTTCAATAATGGAAATTAGAACAATGTGTGTGAAGATTGTGCATTAGAAACAATGTTTACACTTGAAACTAGATTTTTCTATACACATCAATTCTGAATGCAGTTTCAATGGTAATTTTCAGTTACTGTGCTGTCACACTCTTTTAATGATATTAGTAAAAAAAAATATATAACGCAAAAATAATATAATAAAAATATTGTTACTCTACAAATAAAAAAATTTAAACAAATATTTAAAATAATGTTATGAAATATTTTAAAGCAGTATTAGTAAATGTTGTTCAAACATTGTTCCATGTACATAAGTCATAAACATGTAGATGGCCCACTATCAGCAAATACTGATACTGTCATTGATATATTGTGCATACTTTTTTGTTCTTACAGTGTGTTCAAATTGGAAAATAACGAGCAGATAATGTCAGTGATAAGTAATAAGGCAAAAAGTTATGTTGTCTATTTGCCTGTGCTAAATGAACCTCTCTGGATCTTGCCTGACTGTACATGTGCTCCCATCTATAATTACACCCACATGAGTCAGGGGCTTTTTCCTACCAGCTGTCACAAGGTCACACGTTTTTGTGTGACCTTTCCTCTGCATTGATATATTACAGGGCTGAGGAAACATGTGCATGCACACTTAAGAGCACATTGTCTGCTGTAGAGGAATGCTGGGAATGAGCATATGTGCTTACCAGTTTTTCTAGAGGTGTGCATAAAAAGACACAATAACAGTTTTATTTATTTTAATTCTTGCATCTAGACATTTAGAACTGAGATTAATGAAAAAAGCCTGACATATAGATGATTTTTATTATTATTCATCAGAAACGTTGGCTGTTCTTTTCAGCTCTAGATCTCACCGTGAGAAACATTCTGTCGCCGTGATTATTGATCACTGTTTTTGTATTTATTCAATATTTGGTAAGCATCATGAGAATGCCAGGTGTCCTGTTGTGACTGACGTCTGGGATTTGTCTGCAGTTCTATCTGGCTTCTGATGACTTGTATACACACAAGAACAATGGTCAGCAGCTAAATATAGCCTACAGACGGTGTGAACAGAACAGAACAAGTGTGCACTCATCAGGATGTGGGACGCAGCCGTTCTCTTAATGCTTTTCCCAGCGTCTCTCTCTTTCTGAAAGAGGCCATTTCCGTCCACCCTTACTCCATGATGACAAATGCACTTCATTCCTAAGAGTGGGCCAAAAGGTCATACGGTTTCCTCCGCCAAGTCTTGTGGGTTTATTACTGATCCTTTACTCTCTGGTGTGTGCTTGCAATTGTGGATATTTAGGTTTCCAGCAGTTCACTTTTTTAGATGGAAAATCTCACACCTACAGGTTTGCAAGTTTGTAACAACTCAAATAAAAGCATTGATAGGCTAGAATAGTACCTTTAAAACTAGAGGTGGTTTATACATGAGCTCTGTTTTTATCTCCTAATCTCTTTCCATGTAAACCGAGTTAGTCTACTGCTGCGTACATCAGATAATAATTTATGTTTTAACAGTTTTAATTTCATGAAGCAGGTTAGATACGTTTCGTCAGGGGTTCCCAAACTTTTTTTTGTCAGCCGAAGCCCTTCTACAAAATATTTATTTGAAGTGCCCCCTGAAATTTTAAGTTAAAGGGGTCATATGATGCGATTTCAAGTTGTCCTTTCTCTTTGGAGTGTTACAAGCTGATTGTGCATAGATAAGATCCCTGAAGTTGCAAAGACTAAAGTCTCAAAACCAAAGAGATATTCTTTATCAAAGTTAAGACTCTGCCACGCCCCCCTAAAACGGCTCGTTCTAACACGCCCCCACATATCTACCTCACTATGTGGAAATATTAGCATAATGCCGCCCAAATGTTCACGCAAAGAAAGAAGGCGTGGTTTCAGTAACCGCAGTTAGTGTTGAAGCAGCATGTCAGGGAGACGCTGTGTGTTTCTAGGCGAAAGATACAGATTCACATTACATTCACACTAGTAATAATAATAATAACAATAGTTATTAATATTATCACTGTTATTATTTCTAACTCTAATTATAAAAAGAAAAATCATGTTTTCTATAAGACTCCTTTGATTTCAGGTAATCTACTTTTAAAATAGTCTAGTTAAAAGTACTTGGTAATGCTAATGTTTGTGTGCGTATTGGCAGACGGTGAACCAGTTGGCCCATGCCTTACATCAGGATGAGGATTTGGACGCAGGCAGTCTGGTGTGTGTCATGTGGCCTAAAGCGAAGTGTGCGCTACTGCGTGATGACCTGGTTCTTGTGGACAGGTAAACACACACTCGTGCTGTCTGGCTGTGAGGCCGGAGACATGTTGACTGCACTATTAGGAAATATTCACTCTCCTTTAACACTGCATTCAACACACTGTCTGTTTTGATTTACAGATCTATAAATTCTGCGCACATTAATTTGTTTGCATGCATTTTTTGTTTATTTGTATTTTTAATTTTTTTGCTTGCTAGATGCTGTTTTTAATATTAAGATGACATGTAAGGATACCAGTGCAATGGCATTATAAACTTACTGCATTAAATTACCAATTTACTGCATAAGAAGTCATATTAGGAATATTTTGTTTTTGGAAACTTATAAAATCTTCCTTTTTAAGCCCTGGCATCGATGTCACAACAGAGTTGGACAGCTGGATCGACAACTTCTGCCTTGATGCTGACGTTTTTGTGCTGGTGGCGAATTCAGAGTCCACTTTAATGCAAACAGTGAGTTTAATATGAACTTCAGTTTGTGAAAAAGGGCTGATGGACTGTGGGAACAGAAGCTTTATGCAGATTTTGGTGTATATATTACAGCATTATGGACAGATAAATTGCAGTAGTATTTGCACTAATTTCTTTAAAGTTAAAGAATTTTGATTATCTTTTATTTTTGAGGTTTCACTCATTTTAGAGTGCACAGTTGTCATGTGACCTCACTTGTGTCAGCTTATTAAAACACGTCTCCCCTCTGCCCTCTGAAAGGAAAAGTCATTCTTTCACAAAGTGAACGAGCGCCTCTCCAGCCCCAATATCTTCATCCTGAACAACCGCTGGGACGCCTCCGCCAACGAGCCCGAGTACATGGAAGAGGTGTGACATACATGACACAACAAACAACACACACACATACTATGAGTCTCACCACCCTGAGATGCGTTTTAAATCATTAACATCGCTGGTAGTTAAACCGAATACTGTAAGCAAGTTTCTTTATTTTATACAAAATTCGGGATGAGGTGAAACTTGAATTGTTTTTGTCTGATTTACAAATAAAGTCAAGTAAACAAATTGGAGTAACACTTTAGTAAAGGGACCAATTCTCACTATTAACTAGTTTTGTTTTTTCTTTATTAGCATGCATATTACTAGCATATTGGCCATTTATTATTACTTATAAATCACATACTAATGCCTTATTCTGCATGAGCATAGTTTAGATCTCTTTCTCCTGCTTCATACCTGAACTTAACAACTACCTTACTAAATATAAGCAGCAATTAGGGAGTTTGAGGCAAAATTAGTTAGTTAATGGTGAGTATTGTTTCCTTAAAGTGTGACCAAATTGGATCTTTTAGTGACCTTTTTGAAACCAAGGTGCATGATGCATGGTGTTGTTGCACTGTTATAATGTAGTGTGTGTTTGTCAGGTGAGACGGCAGCACATGGACCGCTGCACTAGTTTTTTAGTGGATGAGCTGCGGGTGGTGGATCGCGCTCAGGCCAGCGACCGGATCTTCTTCGTCTCTGCTAAAGAAGCACTTCAGGCGCGTGTCCAGAAAGCCCAGGGAATGCCTGAAGCAGGTAGATACATTTACATCAGGGGTTCACAAACTTTTTCTTGTCAGCTGAACCCCTTAGACGTAAAATATTTACTTAAGTATGTAACTTAATATTTCTAGATGTTAACAACACATACTCATGTTCATGGGTTTCTGATTATGGTGACATGCAAGTAAACAGATAAAATGTATTTTATTTTAATTGTTTTTATTTTAAAATGATAATTTGCCAGGCCAATAAAATGTTACAGTATTGCAATTATTTTGTCATATAATAATAAACATTTCACTTTGTAACTGGACTTTTAAGTGGACCCAGACCTCTTTGTAGTTGTTGTGTGCCAGTCCACATTACATTCACACTGATGTTTTTAGGAACCCAATTAATTTTTTATAATAATAATAGTTATTGTTATTATTCTAATATTAACAATATAATAATATTACAATTTTTACTTTTAAGTGTTTTATATATATATATGCATATATATATATAATTAAAATGTTGTAAATTACAATTGTATTGTGAACTAAAAAATGAATATGCGGTAATAAGTACTTTTCAAAACCTTTTCAAATGCTATTCACGTTTCAAATTCAGGCTTTCATTATGGTGGAAAATTGGAGGAATGCTGTAAACGTTTGTCCACAAAAATGTTGAAAATTATGTGAATGTGGAAATAAAGTGATTGCATTCCCAAATGCATGTTAAATTCAGTACATGCAAAGATGAAGTTCACTGCGTTTACTGTAAACAGAGCCACTCTGAGATGCTGAAAACACTGGATCATGAGATGCTCACATGAGCACAGTGCTGCGCTTCACTCTGAAACACGCAGTGCATGCGCCGGTATTCGGTAATGAGATATATCACGATAATGAATATGCACGTTGTTGTGGGCACTTCAAAATACAGAGAATAATTATTTATTACAAATGATTCAGAATTTTGAATGCATTTTAAGAATACTTTTCCCATCCTCTATAATATTTAGTTGTGCCGCGCCACTCGCGTCTGGTGTAGACATGGTGCCAAGATACACCATCACAAGAATACACGAGTTATATGAAAAGGAGATTTTAATTTGATTACATTAATGTTTAAGTTGAGATTTTCAAGAAATATTTTAACTACTACTATGTAAAGGGAATACTGCTGTAAAAAGCACCTTATTTGTTTAAAGTGTTTGCAAACCAAATGTTATTGCACTTTTGTTCATACAGTTTTAAGTTCAGTTCATTTTTCATTTGAGATATCTTGTTTCAAATCAACTGGGTGAATTATTTAAATCAAAGGAAATTCTATGTGTATATAATCATATAGATTTGTATGACTATATACTGATATATTTGTGCATACAAATAAGTAAAATATTTTGTATTAAAAGCACTGCTGTTCAAAAGTTGGAATTATTTATTTGTTTTTCACCAAGGCTGCATTTGTTTAATCGAAATACAGTTACTGTATTACATTATTAATAATAATTAGTAGTAGTATTACAGTTTGAAGTAATTGTTTTATTTTTTAATATATATGAAAAAAACAAAACAAAAATCTGTGGCAAAGCTGAATTTTCAGCAGCCATTACTCCAGTCTTCAGGGTCACATTCCTCAGCCATATTTGTAAACTGCAGAATATTTTAGTCCATTAGTCCAAATAATGTTTTCAGTATGTATAAGGATGCCCAACATGGCTGCACAAAACCAAGCGATCTTCAAAAACGTGTTCAGCTTCTTCTTGCATCACACATGGTTAGGACACAGTGATTAGGAATCATATTAAGCTAACAGTCTTAGATCAGCTTTATTAAAAAGAATCTGGATTTTTATATTTGAAGGGTAGCCGAATATTTCGATTGATGATTTTTGTGGTGTTCAGGATTCATTGTTTAGAGATGAAAGAGGAGAGGGAGGACAGGCTGGAGTTCATTGATAAACAGCTGGATCTGCTCACTCTGGACTGCAAGAGCAAAATCAAGAAGATCACAGAGGAGGTGGAGAAACAGGTGAGACTCACTTGTCTTTTTCAATATAATATACGTAAAAAAAATACTTTGGCCTTTAGTTCAGTTTCGCAAAAATCAGGTTGGTGCCATTTTAGCTGGACTAAAGCACATACATGACATTTTGAAAGAAGAATTGTTATTTTAGTTTGACTGAACTTGAACAGTTTATGTAAACATTCATAATGTCACACTTTCTTTTTGGGGACATCATATGAAGCCGCTGAGTCTAATGTTGTATATTAAAGAGATGTCCTTTTTCTAGTTGTTTATGGATGTGTTTTTCTTTTACAAGTTTAAAGATGGTAGTTTCCTTTTGAAATTGGTAGAAATGCTAATACAGTTTTTAAGACTACTGGATAAAGATACCATTTTTCTCTCTTGGTCTTTTTAAAATATTTTTTTGTTAGGTTTTTTTTGTCTTTTGTTTTAGCTCTTTTAAGTTTTAAATGTGAACGTAAATGAATAATGTCACACTTTCAAGGCATTACTTCATGGTAATGGGTATTCTAGAAAACCTTATTATTGAAACAAGTAGGGATTTTAAGTCTTTAGTGACTTTAATTTTCAATTTAAGTTCCAAATACTCTAAAACTCTGTCTTATGGGTATGTTTCCATGTTTCATCCTGTCCGTCTGCGTGTATAGGTGTCTAACGCTATGGCAGAGGAGATCCGGAGACTGGCTGTGCTCGTGGACGACTTCCACTTGGACTTTCATCCTTCACAAGTGGTGCTCAAAGTGTACAAGAACGTGAGTTGGACTTGAATTGGTCTTCCTCCAATCACCCGCCCATGTCTTCTCCTCTTTATTTTTATGATCTTTCATCAACTGTTGTTTAATGTTTAGTGGCAACATGCAACTCTCCACAAGGAAAGTCCCCAGCTGCCCACTAACATCACGTGATCTCATCTATGCCCTTGTCCTTTATCTGGTTAACTTTCAGTTTTACACAGGGCTGTATCAAGAATAAACCAGATATCTTTTAGTTTATTTATATATATATATATAAAACAATAAATGTTTCTTGAGCAGCAAATCAGCATATTAGAATGATTTCTGAAGGATCACGTGACACTGAAGACTGGAGTAATGATGCTGAAAATGTAGCTTTGATCACAGCAATAAATTAAATTTAAAAATATATTCAAATAGAAAGCAGTTATTTTAAATAGTAAAAATATTTCACAATATTTCTGCTTTTGCAGGCTTGGTGAGCAGAAGAGAATTCTTTAAAAACATTAAAAATCTTACTGTTCAAAAATGTTTGACTGGTAGTGTGTATATGTATATATATATTTAAGTGCATTAAATTCATTTAACTGCATTTAATCATAGGTTAATGTGTAATCTTTGGAAGCGGTAATAGATGAAAAAAGAAATATCTTTTGTGTCATGTTATAATGAGGATTGAATGATTGATTTCAGGAGCTGCACAAGCATATAGAGGACGGTCTCGGCAGGAATATGTCTGAGAGATGCTCCTGTGCGATAACTGCAGCGCTGCAAACCACACAGACTGAAATGATAGGTCAGTATCTCTCTCATACGGTGAGTTTTCATACAGCTCACACCAGTAAGAGCAGCAGCTTAAAGAGACGCGCTTCTGATCGTTCCAGAGGGCCTGAAGCCCCTGCTGCCCATCGGGATCCGAGAGCAGGTGGATAAGATGGTGCCCAGACAGTGCTTCGCCCTCAGCTACGACCTCAACTGTGACAAACTCTGCAGCGACTTTCAGGAAGACATCGGCTTCCACTTCTCCCTGGGCTGGACCATGCTGGTCAACCGCTTCCTGGGTCCCAAAAACACACGCCGCGCTCTCATGGGCTACAATGACCAGGTAGGGCATGTCAGTTGAGGACTTTTATTTACAAGGCCAACGTCCTGCAGAGTTTAGCTCTAACTTAGAAGATTCTGAAGACCTTGATTACCTTGTTTCAGGTGAGTGTGACTGGGTTTGGAGCTAAACTCTGCAGGACAGTGGCTCTATGAAATCTGATTTAGTTTTTCTCAGGTTTACATTTTTCTGGATTCCGTTTTAATGGTTAAATTTAATTTTAGTAAACAAAAAAAGCATGTCTAATGAATTGAAATTATGTAAATAAACAATTTAACAACTATTTATTAAAGATTTTAATAAAAATTTAATAAAAATTTTAAATGTATTATTTAAATATAATATTTTAATAATAACAACAATTTATTACAGTATTTTTAGGGGCTACTAAAATAAAGTTTTCTTTGATCTTGATCTTCTGTTTTATTTTTTCTGGATTCTGTTTTAATGGTCTCAGGGCTCCAGACTGCGACCAAATGCCGGTGCGACTAATGTTTTTGAGTGGTTGCACTGGTTCGACCACCGCATTGTTCAACTCCATAAGCGCTGCCATTTCTGTTGCATTTGAGAAACATCAGACGGCAAATGAAACGAAAGCGAAACTAAACCGCGCTACATTTCAGCTGTTTCAACACAACCATTTCCATCACTTTAAAGCTCTAAAATGATCCAGTTTGAATGTTATTTTTAATGGGATGACCAAAATATTCTTTGTGGTAAACAAACACTTATGTAAGAAAATCACAATTATAACCAGTAGATGGCAGCAGAGGAGCACTTATTGGCTTATTGGTCATTCATTTATACTTTTTCACTATATTTTGAAATTATAAAAAATAAAATCAGATTTTGTCAGAATTTTACACTTTTTTGTGTATGAAGTAAGAAAAGTCACAAACTTGAAAAACAAACTTTTCTTCAATTTGCTACTAAATCACACATAATCACTGAAGTTGGTCAGTTCCATATACTAGAAGAATAATGGCACATTTAATAAGAGTGGAATATATACATTTTCTATACAAACCCAATTCCAAAAAAGTTGGGACACTGTACAAATTGTGAGTAAAAAAGGAATGGAATAATTTACAAATCTCATAAACTTATATTTTATTCACAATAGAATATAGATAACATATCAAATGTTGAAAGTGAGACATTTTGAAATGTCATGCCAAATATTGGCTCATTTTGGATTTCATGAGAGCTACACATTCCAAAAAAGTTGGGACAGGTAGCAATAAGAGGCCAGAAAAGTTAAATGTACATATAAGGAACAGCTGGAGGACCAATTTGCAACTTATTAGGTAAATTGGCAACATGATTGGGTATAAAAAGAGCCTCTCAGAGTGGCAGTGTCTCTCAGAAGTCAATAGAAAACATTTGGCGCATCATAAAGAGGAAGATGCTACAAAGAAGACCTAAGACAGTTGAGCAACTAGAAGCCTGTATTAGACAAGAATGGGACAACATTCCTATTCCTAAACTTGAGCAACTTGTCTCCTCAGTCCCCAGACGTTTGCAGACTGTTATAAAAAGAAGAGGGATGCCACACAGTGGTAAACATGGCCTTGTCCCAACTTTTTTGAGATGTGTTGATGCCATGAAATTTAAAATCAACTTATTTTTCCCTTAAAATGATACATTTTCTCAGTTTAAACATTTGATATGTCATCCATGTTGTATTCTGAATAAAATATTGAAATTTGAAACTTCCACATCATTGCATTCTGTTTTTATTCACAATTTGTACAGTGTCCCAACTTTTTTGGAATCGGGTTTGTATTTCTGTCACACTTGAAGTTCAAGAAAGTCCTCATATAGTGAGACTATAGTGATCACGTGTGTAGTAGCTGACACTGTGACACTTACTCACACAGACACTAGTCCATGTTTCCATTTGAATAAATGTACAGCCCTGCTTGCAGAATTTGCCAGATTCTGTGACGCTCCACTTTATACTGTAAATGTAATTTTTATGACTGGATTCCATGATTTCGTCCGCGTTTTCCACATTGTGGAGATGATAGGGCCCTGCGTCCTGTGTTGGGTCCTAACTGATCAAGTGTGTGTTTTGTGTTGTCAGGTTCCCAGGCCTCTGGCCATCACTCCGGTCAGCACCAGCATGCCTCCTTTTCCTCAAGGATCCATGACCCAGGAAGAGCTTATGGTTTCCATGGTAACAGGATTGGCATCACTAACCTCTCGGACATCAATGGGCATTATAGTCGTTGGCGGAGTGGTAAGAACATAGCATATACTGTATCTCTATTAATGCACCAAAATGCATGTTTTCCACACCTGTCTTCATTTACTCACCATCATGTCATCTCCTGGTCTAATGACTTCAGTCTTCATAACTGTGAGAATATCAACCGGATGTAAGCGGTGTGATTGTGTTTGTGTCTCAGATCTGGAAGGCAGTGGGCTGGAGGCTCATCGCGCTGTCTGTGGGTCTCTATGGGCTGCTGTATGTGTATGAGAGACTCACCTGGACCACAAGGGCCAAAGAGAGAGCTTTTAAAAGACAGTTTGTGGACTACGCCAGCGAGAAGCTACAGCTCATAGTCAGCTACACGGGATCCAACTGCAGCCATCAGGTTCAGCAGTAAGTCTGAGGCTCTCTCTGCCTGTGCTTGAACTGTAGCAAAGTCAGGCCGAATCCTACATGATCCAGTCTGTTTTATACGTTGTGTATCTCAAGTTGTCAAATCAAGGTCTTTCTCTTTGTTTGGTGCCGTCAAACGGTTTTCAGGAACAACACTAAAGCTGAATATTCCCATTTTATTATGCTTTCATCTTGTAAATTATCGTTTAAAAGATTGGGATCTAATAATTTTTTTTAATTTTTAGAAATTTTTTTTAAAGTTTTACTTTTCTATTTTAATATATGTAAACATGTCATTTATTGCTGTGGTGCGCAGCTGAATTTTCAGCATCATTACTCCAGTCTTCAGTGTCACGTGATCTTCAGAAATCAGTATAATATGCTGATGTACTGCTCAATTGTAGGGTTGTGACGGTGAGGAAATTTTCCCACCAGTTAACCGACTTGTGACGACACTGATAATCACGGTATCACCGTGTATTTTTCCTTGCTTTCCTTCACTTTTAAATAGCGCCGTGGGCATTTTACTTTCACTTTCAAATTAGCGGCAATTCACCGTCAACTGCTTGAATTCAGTTTAAGCAACAACATCAAACACACTTAGCCTATATATTATTCATTGGGCTTTTATTAACAAACAAATAAAAATACACCATGCTATATACCGAATATAAAATAACAAATAACTTGCACAAAGTTTAAATAGGTAGCCTATACAAAACTGAAAATCTGTAGCCTAAACACTGGAACCAAATAAAACGTAATTTATTAGCAAAACGTATAAGAAAGCTTGGAGGCACGGCATAGCCTACACCTTGATGTAAAATAAAATATATACATTACACAAAGTTTAAATAAAATAAAAATCAGCAAACACTGTGGAACAAAACAAATAAGAAACGAATGTTTAAAAACACCTTTCAAAATCACCTTGGATAAACGGCAGGCGTCAACAGGCTTTTCAAAATCCAAAATATTTTTAAAACGGGCGCTTTTGCTTTATGTTTTGAAACTCTTCCGCCAAACTCTTCACTGTCTCACCTCGCTCTTCTCGTCAGTCAGCTCGACTCACTCTCCTTGCGTTCAGTTTTAACTGTAGTGTCTGTTCTCTAACTCAATTAAATTATTTTTATTACTATGAAAAAATCTAAACGATGGTGGGGGGCGGTGCAAGCAGCAAGCCTCCACAATTGACTTCATATTTTTGTGGAAACCCATTGTGATACATTTTTACACGATTCTCGGCAACACTTCACAATAAGCTTCCTTAGTTGACATTAATTAATGCATTAATGTGAACTAACATTGAGTAATACATCGTTATCGTATTTAATAATCCTTACAACTTTACAAAGTACAACCGTTCACTGTTAGTTCATGTTAGCTCAGGTCCATTAATTAATATTAACAGATACAACTTGGGATAATGTATTAATAATGTTTTAGTAAATGTTGCAATTATTATGAACTCCGATTAATAAATGCTTTACAAATATTTGAATCATTAGTTCATGTTAACTAATGAAACCTTAAACACTGTAAAGTGTTACTGGATTCTTGGATGAACAGAAGTTCAAAAGAACAGCATTTATTTGAGATGGAACACTTTTGTAGCATCGTATAAGTCTTTACTGTTACTTTTGGTCAGCTTAATGTGTTTTTTGGATAAAAGTACTAATTTCTTTTGGAAAAAACAAAAACGGCCCCAAACTTTTGAATGGTGGTGTATATCCATCAAACAAACAAATCACATCATGTAAACTAGTTTCACATCATGCGAAGCCTCTTAATCCAGTATAATCCAGAGTGTGGGTCCTTTGATAGAAATAGAGTTAATCTGGACTTTAATGCAAATGTTGTTGTCATTCAGACTTTATATGAGCACTGTGACCTGAACACCACTACTGTCCTCTAGTGGAGAAATGAAATATATGAAGTGTATGTTATGAGAGATTTGATTTCTGTAGTTGTGGTTTTCAAACATTGTTGAATCCAGCCCTGCTTCCTTCTAAATCACTGTTTGTTTGTCCCAGGGAGCTGGCTGGCACCTTCTCTCAGCTCTGTCAGCAGGTGGACGTGACCAGACAGCAGCTGGAGGACGAAATTCGGGACTTGAACAGCAAGATCGACCAGTTGGATGGCCTGCAGAGTAAAGCCAAGCTGCTCAGGTGAGAGTCTGTGATATCACGTCATCATATGACTGGAGAGATCATGTTTGATTGTGCATTTGCTGTTTAGTTGCAGTCCGTTTATATGTTGTCTTGTTCAGGAATAGTACACTGTGACAAAATGTGACCCTGGGCCACAAAACCAGTCATAAGGGTCCATTTTTCTGAATAAATAAGCTTTCCATTGATGTGTGGTTTTGTTAGGATCGGACAATATTTGGACGAGATACAACTATTTGAAAATCTGGAATCTGAGGGTGCAAAAAAAAAAAAAAAAATCTAAATATTGAGAAAATCGCCTTTAAAGTTGTCTAAATGAAGTTCTTAGCAATGCATATTACTTATAAAAAATTAAGTTTTGATATATTTACTGTAGGAAATGTACTAAATATCTTCATGGAACATGATCTTTACTTAATATCCTAATTATTTTTGGCATAAAAGAAAAATGGATAATTTTGACCCATACAATGTAGTTTTGGCTATTGCTACAAATATACCCCAGCGACATAAGACTGGTTTTGTGCTATATATACACTACAGTTTAAAGCTTTTGGGTCAGTAAAAGCTTTTAGCTTTCAGATAGGATGCATTAAATTGTTCAAAAGTGATACTAAAGACATTTATAATGTTACAAAGATTTCTATTCAAATAAATGCTGTTCTTTTCAAGTTTATATTTATCAAAGAAATCCTGAAAATCTGTAGTAATGATGCTAAAAAAAATTCAGCTTTGTTATCAAAGGAATAAATTGCATTTTAAAATACTTTAAATGAAGTTGAATTCAGTTTTTACTCTGTTTTTGAATAAATGAATACAGCTTTGGTGAACATAAAAGACTTCTTTCAAAACCATTTAAAAAGTCTTACAAAACCCCACATTTTTAAAATGTAAATGGACTAAAAATGTAGGATTTCGTTCTTTCTTGCAATCAGAACCATTTCAACTAAACAGAAATAAAAGAAAGCAAAAAAAGACATGTTTTGACAACTCATTTTTATTTACAAACGCACCAGTATATAAATACTAATAAATATCAATATTTACTTGCATCTATGTTTTGAAAATTCTAGACATGCTGCAAATAAATCATTGAACTGATTTGCAGAAATTAGTCTTTTTTTTTTTTTTTTTTCCTTTGTGGTTCAAATTAGAGACGCTATTTAGATATCTCGCAAGGCAAGTTAGCAGGTGTAAAACTAGTTCACTGGCCTTTGAAAATAAAAAAGCACATTAAAATAATTGCATTATATTCACAGTGTTTGTTCATTTTATTTTGTTAACTGAAAGTTGACCAATATTAAAAATGCTAACTACATGTTTTGCGGTTGCTACAGGAATAAAGCCGGCTGGCTGGACAGTGAACTCAACATGTTTACCCAGCAGTACCTTCAACAGGGTCGATAGAGATCCGTCTGAACACTACAAGCTTTTAATATCTACTGCACCTAGCCATGCTTTCAGACATTTATTTGAGCTCACCAAATATTGCTCATCACAAATTAGAGACGCTATTTAGATATCTCGCAAGGCAAGTTAGCAGGGGTAAAACTAGTTCACTGGCCTTTGAAAATAAAAAAGCACATTAAAATAATTGCATTATATTCACAGTGGTTGTTCATTTTATTTTGTTAACTGAAAGTTGACAAATATTAAAAATGCTAACTACATGTTTTGCGGTTGCTACAGGAATAAAGCCGGCTGGCTGGACAGTGAACTCAACATGTTTACCCAGCAGTACCTTCAACAGGGTCGATAGAGATCCGTCTGAACACTACAAGCTTTTAATATCTACTGCACCTAGCCATGCTTTCAGACATTTATTTGAGCTCACCAAATATTGCTCATCACATATTTTCTTTCTTTTTTTTTCTATCAGTATTTTGTTTGGTTTTTTTTGCATTTGAGACTAGTGTCGTGCCACTTTGAAGAGAGCTTTCTTTTGTTTTGTACACCTTGTTTCTTTTGTATTTAATAATGATTTATTCTTGAGTTAAGAGGTCATGTCAAGTGCTTGGCCTCTGTTATATAGATTCCCGTAGAGATTTGTTAGTATGCCACGGCAAGTTGCAAAAAATGAGATGCCTTATAAATAGGCTTTCGCGCGCCTTGTAATGAATCTGACGGCAATATTTTCTAGTGCCTCTTCAGTTTCCCCCCCCATTCCTGCACTGTTTTACTGCTAATCATTTGTTTAGTTTCCACATGGGACAAATGTACATTAATATATTATTATTTATGTATGGATTGAATAGGAAAACCAGATTTATGTAAACCTGGATGCCAGTTATGCATATAATTGCATGGTACATGTATTCCACTACTGTCATCCACATCTGAAATGTAATCAGACTGTAAATGTGTGTGATGCATTACTAACCTGATCTAGTGTATGCTAACCTGTTTCGTTTGGATTATGACGTGTGCCAAGTGTTGAAGAACGTCATCGGGAGAAGCTCTTGTGATGTGCACTTTATGTTTTGCTGCTTTTTTGCATTTGTTTCCAGAAGATCCATTAGAAAGAGAAAGGTACAGTGACCTGTCAGCAGTAATGTATATAGATGAGCATGCAGACCGTTGTAATTTATTGTCATTCACTATTACTGTTAGATGAAATAATAAAGTGACACTGTTGAAAAATGAATGAATAAAGTCTTACTGAGTTTTTAGTTTTTTCACCCCTAGTGGATATGCTATTGGCTGTTGATGCATATTATGAAATTAAGATCCATGATCATGTATTATGATAATGGTACAATGACTTTACTTTCTGACAGGCACACTACATTTTAATGTACTACTTAAAGGAAACTAATTAAAAGTCCTTTAACTTGGACATTAATATGCCAAGGCTGAACGTTTCAGTTTGTTCTTTTAATTAATCAAACTATTTTGGAGACTTTGGCAATTTAAACACATTTTGGAGGGGGGGGAAAAAAAGTTTAGACTTTGAATATTTGGGGTACTCAAAGTGTGTCTGTTGGGCAGAGATAATGTAGTTCCTTTGACAAGTATAACGAACCATTTTTACACGCTTTATTTGTTTTTAAACGTGTTAGACACAGAAGTGTAATTGGTGAGGAAAGCCAAAGTTTGGAGCTGCTGCCCTGTTGAAAAAACCAGCATATGCTGGTTAGCTATGTTTTGATGCTGGGATGCTGGTTTAAGATGGTCCTTTGCTGGTTTATGCTGGTCCTTTGCCTGGTTTATGCTGGCCTTTTTGCGGGTTTATGCTGGTCATGTGCGGGCAAAGGACCAGCATAAACCAGCAAACGGACCAGCATA